TTCTTTTGTCTGGGAAGCTCCTTATTTCACCTTCCATTTTAATTGAGAACCTTGCTGGGTAGAGCAGTCTTAGTTGTAGGCCTTTGCTTTTCTTGATCTGGAATATTTCCTGCCATTCCCTTCTGGCTTGTAGTGTTTCTGTTGAGAAGTCAGCTGCTAGTTGTATCAGGGCTCCCTTGTATGTTACTACCTGTCTCTCCCTTGCTGCCTTTAGGATTCTCTGTCTGATATTTGCCATTTTAACTATGGTGTGTCTTGGAGTGGGCCTCACTGGGTTCCTCTTGAATGTGGTCCTCTGTGCTTCCTGGACTTGCATGACTTTTTCTCTCTTCCAACTAGGGAAGCTTCCCATCATTACTTTTTCAAACAGGTTCTCTATCCCTTGTTCCTCTTCTCCTTCTTGTATCCCTAGTACATGGATGTTATTAGGTTTCAGGTTGTCCTGCATTTCCCCCCACGCCTTTTTTTTTTTTAATCTGTTTTCATTTTCTTGCTTTTTCTGGGAGCTCTTTTCTAACTTGTCCTCCATCTCACTGATTCGATCCTCCTCTTCATCTAGCCTGCTGTTGACTTCTTCTACTGTGTTCCTCAATTCAGAAATTGTATTCTCCATGTCCTCTTGCCTCTTATTGATAGTTTCTATGTCCTTTTTCATGCTGATATAATTTTCAATAAGTTCCTCATAGTTTCCCTGTAGTTTCTCATAATTCTCTTAGAGCTCGCTGAGCTCATTGAGCTTCCTTAGAACCACTCTTTTTAACTCAATATCTGATAGTTTATTTGCCTCTATTTCATTTAGTTCTCTCTGTGGGGATTCCTCGTTTCCCCTCAATTGGGGGATATTTCTTTCTCCTCCCATTATTTGTGAGATTCTTCTTTATAGCTTCTGCTTCTTAAATTGATCTGTCTTGATTTCCTGACTTTGAGGTGTGATCTTCTATGGTAGTAGGTCTTTTTTATTTTCTTTCTGGATCTGCCTTTGATGATGCCAGATGTTGACACCGTCTGACCTTAGGCAGTCTGTTCAAGATTTCCAGGAATCTACTGTCTGTGTCTGTCTCCTGCAATTGTTAACCTAGTCACTCTTCCCTCAGCCATCAGGTTTAGGCACCACAGGATGGGGCCACGCCTCCTGAGGGCCAGGCTATTGTGTCCTTTCACACTGCTGCCATTCTGGGGTGTGGCCTGCCTGAGCAAGATGGAGACTGCAGAATGGGGGAGGAGTCAGCACCAGGATCTTTCTGGCTACTCCATCAGTTCTCTCCCCAAAGCTTCCATCTTCAGTCTCTCCTCAAGCACATCTAGACAGCTCTGTGTCCCTTTTAGCCAGGGACCTATTATCTGTGCCGGCCACTCTGCTCTCAGCACCCAGGCCTGTGTGCAACTCCTGGCCGGGGCAGAGCCTCCTGAGGGCGACACTATTGTGTCCTTTATGCCTGAACAAGATGGAAGCTGCAGAATGGGAGGTGAGTCATCACTGGGGCCCCGCTGGCCACTGTCTCAGTTCTCTCCCCAAAGCTTTCCTCCCAATCTCTCCTCTGGCGGCTCCAGCCCACTCTATCCCCACATTTGCCCAGAAACCAGAGTAAGTGGCTGCCACTGCAAATTTTTGCGTAGGCCCTTTAAATGGATCTTTGCATCTCCAGCTGCCTGTCTCTGGCAGAGAGCACCACTATGCTTTTCACAGCTGTCTGTTGTCTGTGTGCTTTTTGGGCTCTAGTGTTGTAGGCTAGAGGTCCCCACTTATGATTCAGACCCTGCTCTTCTTAGCGGGATTCAAATGGCTGTTTCAATATCCCTCTGGCCCTGCCATTCATGGATACCCTGCCCACCTTCTCAAGACTCCACAGCACTTCTTACCTGTTAGGTTGTGCGAAAGCCGATTTCACTGTCTCTCCGAGGTCTTAAGGCTCCTGTCTTGCTATTGTTCCATTGTTTTCCAAGTGATTTTTCCCCCAATTTAGTTGCAATTCCAGTTTGGTCCTGGGAGGAGGTCAGTGTGACTTCAACTCACTCCTCCGCCATATTGTCAGTTGAGTTTCTGTACAGTCAGAAAATCTGAAAAGGAAATTTTAAAGTAATCCCATTTTATAATAGCATCTAAAATAATAAGATACATAGGAATAAATTTATTCAAGTAGATGAAACACTTGTACACTGAATACTACAAAACATTGCTGAAAGAAATTAAAGAAGATCTAAATAAAGGGAAAGTCCTCTAAAGTTCATGAGTAAAAAGACTTATTATTGTTAAGATGCCACTAATACTTACAGCAATCTACAGATTCAATACAATCTCTATCAAAATTCCAACAGCCTTTTTTTGCGGAGATGAAAATGGTGATCTCCTAATTCATACAGAATTGCAAGATACCCTACATAGCAAAAACCATCTTTAACAGGAATAACAAATCAGAGAACTAACAGCTCCCAGTTTCAAAACTTACTACAAACTTTAAATGGGTAAATAACTTTAATAAGCATTTCTTCAAAGAAAATATAGAAATAGCCAATAAGCACATAAAATATCTCAACATTACTAATAATGAGGGCAATGTAAATCAAAAGCACAATGAGACATCACTTCATATCCATTAGGATGGCTATTATTTTTTTAAAAAATAATAAGTGTTCAAGAGAATGGGGAAACTGGAACCACTGTGCCACATTGGTGAGAATGTAAAATGGTCTGGCTGCTGTGGAAAACAGTCTGGTGCTTCCTCAAAAATTAAACATTGAATTACCACATGATCCAGCAATTCCACACCTAGGTACATACTCAAAAGAACTGAAAGCAGGATCTCTAAGATATTTTTATACCCACATTTATTGCAGCATTTTTCACAATAGCCAAAAGGCGAAGACAACCCAGTATCCAATGACAGATGAATAGATAAACAGAATGTGGTATAAACCTGCAATGGAATATTACTATTCAGCCTTTAAAAGGAATTAAATTCTGATACATAATGACCTTTTAAAAGGTTATGCTAAATAAGATAAGCCAGACACACAAAAAAATAAATATTGCATGATTCCACATATATGAAATACCTAGAGTAGACAAATTCTTCGAGACAGAAAGTAGAATAATGGTTTCCACGGGCTGTGGGGAAAGCAGTCTGAGGAGTTATTGCTAAATACTTACAGAATTTGTGTTTGGGATCATAAGAAAAAGTTTTGGAAATAGATGATGGTGATAATTGCACAACATTGTGAATGTGATATACAGTAAATTGAATTGTGCACTTAAAAATGGTTGAAATGGCAAATTTCGTGTTATGTGTACTTAACCACGATAAAAAAAATTTTTTTAAAGGTAAGAAGTATTTAGCATCTGGAGGCAGGGGTGGCAGGAAGGAGGTGGGCAACTACCAACAAAGGTGACTATTCCAGTGGGGGGAGATGGAACACTGCCAAAGGAAAGCACAGAGCCTGGGCCATCTTGTCTAGTGTCAAATGATACCGGGAAGATCCAAGTTAGAGGGCTTCCACTTCTCAGTTTTTGTTTCACTCAAAAGAATGAATTCAGGTGCGAGACAGAAAGTATAGTGGAAATAAGGTGACAAGTTTATTTATGAAATATACTTGAATGTGATGCTGAAAGTGGGCATACAGCTAGTCTGAGTGTCTCACCCATCGGGTTATATGCTTGCAGCCAGGCTCCAAGCTCCCCATCCTCTTCCCTTCTTAGGACCTTGGGATTAGTTTACTTCAAAGGCTTCCTTTCCCAGATAGTGGAAATGACATACGCAGAATTTCAAGGCTACCCTCCTCTTGGCTTATCACGTAGTCTCTCTTGTGACCTTTGGAACACACCGCAATCTTATCTGACCAGGCTCCAGACTGCTGAAGTAATGAATTAATGAGTGAGACCTGTCTTCCTCCCCCTCCTTGCCTTGGTTTGCTGTCTATCCTGCTTAACAGCAAACTCTGCCCGAGCACTACAACTGGCATCCTAGACAGTAAGCCTGAGGCATGAAGGAAAGACATACAGACAATCACTAAGCTCAAATGGTTGGTGGCTGGCAAGTTTGCACCTTCCTCCATCCCATGTGTCATTTCAGGCTCCAGTCATTGACCCTGGACCATTGCTATAGCCTCCTAATGTGCCCCTGGACCATCCTCTGCCCCTTTAACTCATCTTCCCTAATACTGAGTAGGGTGAGCTTCCTAAAGCAAATCTAATCCTGCTGCCTCAGCTCACAAGCTTCTCTGCTGGTTCCCTCACTGGGAACCTGCTGCCTCCTTGGTTTGGCCAAGGCTATTTACAGGCTGGTGCCAACACGTTCCTCTGGCCTTGTCTCACACCCCTCCCCTGCACCAAGCCCAAGTTCTATCTGGCCAGGCTGAGGTTCTCACCTTCCCTTAACAGTGTGCTCTGCATACATTGAAACGGTCTCCAGCCCACTCCCTTGGCAAACACCTAAGTAATCCTGAAGATCCGTTGCAAATGTCACCACTATGTTGGGTCTTCCTGACTCCTCCTCAGAAGGAATGGTTTTGCCCTCCTGCTGTCCCACAGCGCTTCTTGTAAGTAATTGAGTTTCACACTACACCTGGGACAGAATTTTGAGCTAGTCTGTGTAAAATATTAAAGGAATGGTAAACTTCTGAGTTGGTGGTCTTCAGGCCATCCAAGCAACTGGCATCTTGGTCAAAGATGTGTGGTCTAATTATGTCCCTTGTGCTCAGGTGCCCACTCCCACATCCTTATTCCCCAATACCACATGACTCTGAGGGAGGGGCCTGAGAAATTGTACTAGTTGACATTACGAAATGGCAGAGGAGAAAAAGTACAAAGTTGGGGGTGAGGGTGGTCTCTGTGAGCTAAGAGTAGAAGCAGGAAGTAGGCCACATGTAAACCAAGCACACATATCCCTCAGGTGACCACACCTCAGACTTGGACTTTGGCTGCCCTGGTGGAGCAATGAGCCAGGCTGTGCCTCAGCAGGCAGGAGGTGCCTGAGCTTGCTCATTTGGCTGCAGCCATAGCCAGCATGCTTGAGAAGACCTGGGAGCTGCACCTGCTGCTTCTGCTGGGGTTAGGGCTGGGGCTGGGGTCCCGGCAGGCCCTGCCTCCACCCTGTGAGAGGTAGGAGAGGAGGAGGCAACTGGGGATGGGGCAGGGAAGCTGAGAGAAGATCTCAATCAGTGGGGGGGTCACACTTTCAGAGGGAAGGGAAGGGAAAGAAATTCGGTCTCCTTGTGTAGCAGGCTCTCTGCCCGGCACTGACCTCCAGTGTGAGGAAAGATCCTGCCGTAAGTTGGCCTATGCATGGTGGAGGAACCTGCCACAAGCCCTTCTTCCTACCCTCCCTTCAAGCGGCTCCTTGAACTGTGCAGGCCTGTTTTTAGGATTGTTCTAGGAAACGTTCTGCCTAGTTTACTTAGCCTTGATGTGAGAAGGACCATAAGAGACTGAAAAAAGCTCTTGGGTTTAACCTCTGACCTCTATGACAAAGGGCAAGTCAAACTGCTTTCCAGAGCCATCATTTTCACCTCCAAATAATAAAGGCAAGAGGCCCTGTTCTACCTCCTAGACTCACAGGGCATCATCCATTCTTCATAAACATGAATTATCAAGCTTTCACTATGCCTTCTTGGGCTGCAGCAGTGAACAAGAAAAATGAGGTCCCTGTCTTCATTGACCTTACATAATAAGCAATAAAGGTAGCAGATGCTAAATAGTGTTAAAAGCACAATTAAAAGTAAAGTAAAGGAACCACTCATGGGGGTGAATAGAGAGTGTTTCAGATAAGAAGGAGAAGAGGAGTAGAGTGTCTTTGAGAAGGTGATGTTAGAGCACAATTATGGAAGGAACCATGCTTTGCAGATCTGAGAGAAGACAGTCCAGCATGGAAACTGCAATGCAAAGGCCCTGAGGTCACTGTTCAAGGACCAGAAGAAGGCCTGTGTGGTTGGGGCAGAAGTGGGAATAGGCTGGAGGAGGTAGGGGCTCCAGGGGAAAGTGGACGAGCATTTGGGCTTCAGGGTCAAGACCAAAAAAGTGAAGAAAAGTAGTTTCATATGGGACGTATTTTAGAGGTTGAACTGACCAAACTTGCTGATGATTGATTCTGGAATATAAAAGGAAAGGACACATCTGGGATAACTCATATATTTTGTCTTGAGCAGTTGTAACAAGGATGTCAGAAAGGCTATGTGATCAAGTTAGTTGCCAAAAGTATGGAAAGAAGACTGTCAGGACTCCTTAAGACCATCTCAGCTTCAGGGATTTCCTAGTACTCACCAAATAGTTATATCCATAGTTATAATTTATTGCAGAGAAAAGATACACATTAAAGTCAGGAAAGATAAAAGGCACATTGGGCCCTGACCAGTGTAGCTCAGTTGGAGTGTTTTTGCATAACCAAAACGTTGCAGGCTCAATTCCCGGTCAGGGCACATATCTAGGTTGCGGGTTCAATTCCAGGTCTGGGTGCATATGAGAGGCAACTGAATGATGTTTCTGTCTCTCTTTTCCTTTCTCTCTTCCTTTTCCTTTCTCTCTAAAAGCAATGGAAAAAAAAAATGTCCTCACATGAATATTTAAAAAAAAAAGGCATATAGTACCGAATCTAAGAGAGAAAAAAATGCAAGCTTCCAGTTGTCTTCTCCCAATGGATTTATATAGACAGCACCTAATTTTTCCAGCAACAATGTGTGACCATACCCATTAAGTATGGCCAACCTGGAAGCTCATCTGGACCTTGTTGTCCAAGGTTTTTATCAGGGACCAGTTACAGAGGGACGGAGTATCCACATGACTGGCCTTAGTTACTCAGTTTCCAAGTCTCTAAAGGTCAAAGTGATACTGGGTGGCTCTTGGCCCCCACCATAAATCAAATTGTTAGCATAAAGTATCTGGCATGGCCTAAGGCCCCACGTAATCAAAGACTTATCTGGCAGGGCAAAATATGAAACCTCGGGGGTTGTATGAATACCTGAAGTTGTAGCCAGTTGGTCAGAAGTAGGGGTAGTTTGGAGACCCCTGAACTTGCAACTGGTGCCTGTGCCCCTGGAGACTGTGCCCTTGACCTGGTGGTGGTGTCTGAGCTAAATGGTTAGTGCCAGAATTATATTGCAGTATTGCAGTTGGTGTCAGAAAAGGTATGATTTACTAGAATGACCTCAACTCACTGAAATGTAGCTTTGGAAGAGTGAGATGAAAAGAAAGGGGATCAGAATCCTTTCATTTCTGGATGGCCACAGGGTCACCCATGGTTTGGAAAAGCAGTTGTTCTGTGATTGATTACTAAAGGTGAAAGTTCCCAATGGAATTTAAAGAAGATGGACCCAACTCCTGGGGTGTTGGCTCACTGCATACAGAAGAAAATTTAAAATAATCAGTTAATGTTGCCTATAATAGCAAAATTGAAAGTGACAGGTGGGCCAAGGTTAGATTCTGGCCAGTCCAAATGATGGCCTCTCATCTCAAGGCCCCTCAGATCCATTTCCTAAGAAAGGAAATTATTCTGAAACAACAAATAACAAAGAAAGTGCCCAAGAAAAGTGGGTTAGACCAGAGACTTTCAATTTTCTTTCATCTCATGGTACACATAAACTAATTACTAAAATATTTTGTATTGATCTGGCCAAAAAATTAGGTATAATTTTCAATCATTCACACCAGACAGCTATCATTATGTTGGCTCTTGTCATTTTTTTATTTGACAATCTAAGGGAAAAGAGGTCAGTGCCCCCAACTAAACAGTCAGGTATTGCATGTTTTAAAAATTCTTGCAGCACACTGGTTGAAAACTGCTAAGATAGACAAAGGAGGGAGCCAATGGACTCATCCCAGTAAGAAGACCTCTTTAAACGGTTATTAAGAAATGTTTGCTTTATTCACAGAGAAAGTGGAGAGTCAAGAGACTCATCCCAGTAGGGTGGAAATCTTTATGCAGTCACTAAGAAGTGGGGTGAATAAAGCAGCTGGTGATAGGGTCCAAACAAAAATTTTACTGCAGCACTCTTAGAGATTAAGTAGATCAACAGGAGCCCCCCCAGATGAAAGAGCCGTAAATAAATCTCCTTTATTCTCCGTACTTTGGTGGAATTTAGAAAACAGCAAGGCAAAGAGGACAATAAGAAACCTGACCTCCAGTCTGCTGGGGCAGTGGTCCTGAAATTTAATCAATATAAAGACTGATGAGAGGGTCAGAGTCCCTTAGATCTGTCCCCTGCTGAGTACTCAAAGCTTTATGCATATGCATGGGCAAAATGGTCCGAGGTTAGAGAAGTATCTTGGACTCCGTGACATGAAAACTCTGTGCCCTGTGGTACCAAAAGCCATTCGTGACACCCTAAAAGGGGTTACAATCAGATTGAGAGGATAATGGAATACACAAGTTGATAGAATTAAGGTGAAAGTTCAGATGAATTTTAAAATGTTTAAACACGCTTTATGTCAAGTGGTTGTTTCTCCTTCACCCAGATGTGGGGAACACTTCCCCTACCCACTAATGTGAAATGAAACCCGTTGGGGAAGTCCTAACAGGGTCACAATTCATAATGCAAGGGTTGGTGGAACTAAGGTGAAAGTTTGGATAAAAACTGGTATGTTTGAACAGTTATATGAAGCGATTGCATGAGTTTCACCTGAATATGTTACAGGGATGGATATTGTGTCTGATCAGGAAATGTTTCCACTATCTAGTACTATAAAACAAAAGGCATGTAAATCTGCCCATTGAGCAATATTAATTGGGCATTGCAAATGATAACCAATAAGGTTGCCCAAGTCCACATAGACCATAGCCTTCTGTGCAGCACAGGCTGGGAGTATAGCAAAAACATGTGGACACCTTCCAGCACAACCGCTGGGACTTTGGACTAGAAGATTGAGAATTTCCATCTGAGGGGCAATTAGTAGCATGCTATCAGACATTAATTGAAACTGCCCCTATGATGACTTTGAAACATGAATTACCCATAATATATTGTGTGATATTGGAGAAATGCTCTATGAGGGAGGACAGTGCCCAGAAGTGTTCGATAATAGAATAGAACAGGTTTATGCAGGGACATACTACTAGGGGAATGTAGAGCTACTTGATATATTCCACAGCAGGTACTCTTTTCCCCTAGAACTGGCTTTGGAACCACCTGAGGAGCTGCTAAACTCTACTGTGACTTGGACGGTGCCCTATAAACAGCTCTCAATTGACCAACAAGGAGCTGATGGTTTAGGGATGACAGTGCCAAGGTGAACAGAGAGTGTACTGTTTGGAAAGCTGCTATTCTGATTAAAGATGATAAAAATCAAATCTGCTTGCTGAGATCAATTACATGAATTACAGAATGGTTGCCGCTATGTTTGGGTTTTTACCTACTCTCATTCAGTGGCCTGGTCATATCATCAGGCAAAAGAGCAATAGAATATTAGTCTATAAAAATAATGCCCTTATGTAGCATGGTCCTATAGAAATCACTATGGAAATTTCAGGGGCATAGTAAAATAGAAGACATTGATGCCCATCAGAAGAGCCCTTCTTCCTTGATCAGAAGGTAACTGTGAAGCCCTGGTTGGTGTGGGTCTCTGGATTGAGTGCCAGCTTGCAAACCAAAGTGTCGCTGGTTTGATTCCCAGACAGAGCACATGCCGACTGCAGGCCAGGTACCCAGTAGGGGGTGCATGAGAGGCAACCACATACTGGTGTTTCTCTCCTTCTCTTTCTTGCCCCCTTCTCCTCTCTCTAAAAAATAAATAAATAATCTTTTTTTTTTAAAGGTAACTGGAGCCAGCAAGTGGGTATCCCAGTGTACTCATGTGAGGTAGACACTTCAGTTACTAAACTGTATGGACATTGGGAGACCGTGGCAATGCAGCAGTGGGCTGGATCTGAATATATTCCACTTGCACTCTCTGAGGCACAACATCTAATAAGAACTGTTCTGTCTGCCAACAAGAAAGACAGACTACAGGTGGTTACCAGGCAGGTCCTCTGGAGGAAATAACATGCATATAGCTGGCAAGCTGGACTGAAGACTCAGAAGTCTACAGTGAGTCCTACAGGAAGAGGAACCTGCTCTAGAATGGACTTAGCTCACCCAGGAACCTGAAAACTTAGAGTCAAAAGATACTGACAT